ACTACTACTACTACTACGACTGCGACCACGACTGCTACTTCGACGACTATACGACTACGACGACTATGTCATCGACGGCTGCGACTATTAAGACGACGACAATGACCACGACCGCACTACGACGGGGCTGCGACGACTCGACTACGACGGCTACGACCACAGCTACGACTACGACTACCACTACCACAGCGACTACGCTTACATACGCCTTGCCTACGCTAAGGACTAGGCCTACGACTACTAGTACAGTACCCGTCCGCATCGTCAAATCGAGATATGGGAAGCCTCTAGGAGTGGCTATGCTTTTTGGAACGGTGTGATTGCAAAGGCTGCGGAAAATACCTATGGATGACTTTCACTTCGCTCATGGCTCATGGTGAAAGCTTGATCTGTTTTGTTGGCTATGCAGGTATAGTGAAATTCTGAACCTTCCTGACGGCTAACACTCAGTTAACAAGACAGTTAACACTGCCAAAATGCTGCAAAAACCATCATTTTGTGGAATTTATATATCAGAGAAGGAAACAGCCCTAATTGTATTGCTCTTGATGCTGGGAGTGGAGAAAATGCGGGTTTTGTAGCATTTCGGCAGTGCTAGCTATAGTGTAGCACTCCGGCAGTCTTAACTATAGTGTTAGCTGGAGCGTTAACTGTAGTGTTGCCTGTAGTGTTAACTGAGTGTTAACTGTGCAAGACATAGCATAGTAAAGGGAATCGTCAGCCAGCCATCAGAAACGCAGGAAATACTTAAAGTCGGAAAATAGGAATCATGGATACAGAACAAAGTAGGAACGAAATCACACAATAGGAAAAATATGACAAAATCGCAAGCAAAAAAAGACAGCAAATAAAAGCAAAACACAGGCATGAGTAGCAACATCCATGGAACAATCACAACAGCAGCGATAAAACGACAACCGCATAATTAATGTAAAGACTACTGTTCGAACTAGAAGGGAAATCACAACCTTCCACATTCGTACACGTGCTCGACTAGATGCTCAACGCAAACACAGTGAGCTGATAAGCAAAAGAAGGCATCGGAATCTAACACAGGCCTCACATGGATCTCAACTTCGCTTACTCGATTCTTTTGGGGGGGCTCTGGACCAGAGGTGCCCGACGTTTCCGAAGCCGGAGGCCACAGCCGGAGGGGCTGGGGAGTTAGGGGGGCCTCTGCAGTTTCTTATTTTTTCATTATGTTTCCTATTTTTCCTATTTGTTCCCTATTTCTCCGGAAAATGTGTTGTCCTGTCTAATCCTAGGGGCGTAGGGAAAATAAGAACAAAGAATAAGAAAATAGGGAAAAACCTCTCCGCCCCGCCTTCCTTGTGGGTGGCGGGACGGGAAGTGTTCTTCATACTGGTTGCAGCTCGTAACTCGAAAATCGCCTTGCGCTTCGCTCTTGCCCGCGCACACGGTTTTAAACATATTCCCACATTGAAGCCTTGATCAACCTTCGTATACTACTTTATCGCCTTTGCGCTCGCCCTTGCGCGCGCTTGCACCGTGCTGGTTTCGGAGCAGATCCTCAACCTGCATCAAAGTATTAAAGTGCACTGCTAGTCTGCTAGTCTACGGTCAAGCGGTGGGGGTTTAGACCAACTCTCATATGCCATGTTGCCGTCCAGAGCTGCACTAGACATTTGGACTCACTACCCGGAACTGTTGCCCTGACAGGGATCCTGTCGGTGGATGGAGGAAACCTTGCACCGCCCAGACGCTGACTCATGACACCGCCAACACCAGGACCCCACACCCCCTGTTTACTATTGATGATAGTGTGTCATGTGGCTGGTGCAAGATTTTTGTCAGTGGAGAGCACGGCCCTTCCCAGGACTGGACATCAATGCCAAACAGGGGGCGTGGGGTACTATCGTTGATGGTCTACTCAAACTGTTGCAAGATTTCCTCCATCCACTGCACCATTACCTACACTGCTTCTCCTCCTGCTTCTGCCGTGCCTGCAGCTTAAATGTTTCGTACCATACTCTCAATAGGCCCTTTCGAAGCCCGGGTGTAAGACCTCCTGCCATTGTTTCCGTTGCGACTCACCAGTTCTGATGACGACGACTGTGAGAACCACGATATTCTTGCGAAAAACAATCATGCGGTGCTTAGCGGGCGGGAACCACTGAACAAGCGCCTGACCACTGCTCAACGAGAGTTGCAGCAGTTGCCGAAGCTGCTTTGCTGACCCAAAACCGCAAAAATGGCCTGGTACATGTCCAAGCCGAAGGCTAGCCTCGAGAGATAAACAGGGTGGAACTGGTGCCGGAATTGTTTTTTGCTGCGGTTGGGTTGGGCTTCTTCCGGCACTGACCATCACTAAATACTATCTGGATAACACAGCTGAGGCGCCACGAAAACTTCTGTAAGCAAAGGCCGAATATCGAAATCGAGGAGAACATGCGTGGAGCTCGGAAACTTGAGTAGTCTTGTGATCTAGGTTTCGTTTGATTTTGTACGTTGTGTTACACGGCACAGGAGAGAATGCGTCAGCGCGATGAGTTACAGGTCACGTCGGGTCCCCATCGATTCTACAATTCCATCACAGCTTTGATGCCGAACCGGGGCTTTCCCACTGATCGCTCGTGTGTGGCACTGACAAAGCGAGGCAGAGGCCATGTAGTGTTTGTTGAACCAGTGTCGTTGGACACCTCAGAGACATGATGATGCGGCTTTCCCAGCTTTTCCACACAGCAAATCCCTCGGCGCATGCTGAATGTTGATACTGGTATGTCTCGATGCTTACGTCACGTGCCTTGCTTGTTGCTTCGCGATAGACTGGCAAAGAAACTTGCTCCTAGGTCAGTTCGGAAGGAGGCTTTAACAAGGGCTTTGCCATGACGGCGGGCTTGGTTGCACTACCTTGAGCTGAAACAGCAGTGTGACGATGGAAGATGGCATTCTCCCTCAGTCAAACTTCCTACACCTGCCGAATAGCAGCCGTGCTGCAGTGCAATGCTCCACTATTGGCACAAACACCCCAATGCCCCAAACATCCCAAACTCGAAGGCAGGTTTTGGGGGGAAGCATATTCTAGCATGCTTTTGCAGGGACTAAGAGAGGAGCAATGCCGTGAATTGTTGTAGCTGTGAAGGGCCAAGGTTTGGGGCTTGGGGCTTCAGGACTAGGGCGTGCACGATTTCAAACGTGTCTTCATCATCGCGGCGAACGTACACCTGCAACTTCCAGATTTACAATTACCAGGTAGCTCGACGGCTTCAGGGTTTACGCCTAGGATTTAGGAATTGCGCGCTGCAGCTGACATGAAGGCAACAGCAAAAAAGCTTCCGATGGAACGGGTATGGTTCCTCGCTATGTTGGCTGCCGTAGCAATCGGCCTTGTAGCCGATAAGTTCAGCCCCTGTTTCGCCCTGGCAGGCTGGGGAGCTTTCGGCAGTAGGGTCACCCGGCCGGTTGTCCATTTTTTTTTTTTTGGGGGGGGTCGTTCTCAAAAAGCATGCCAAACTGAGGAGGCCGGTCAGGAAGCGCTGCAAAGGTTCCTAATTCGGAATCATAAATTCCTACGGATATGTAGCGAGATGGTTTCACGGATGCGGGCGGCACATCTGAAAGCTCTGCACGCTTCAGGGCCGGAGGATATTGGCTGGTGGCGGACACATGTTCCTACCACGATTCTACCCTGACCGCTTTATAAGTTAAAAAGACTACTCAGCCTTGAGCAGAAGCATCTTAAAGTGTTTGTGTGCGTGTGCTGCTCGTCTGATGTGTAGCTTTCTGCTGGGAAGGTGCCAATCCCGCACAGGTCTCCTCACAAACCTGAGCTTCGTATTGGGAGGTTGGGCTCTAGACTTCAGAGTAATGGCTCTGGACTCGAGTCTAGGCTGGTCGTAGTTTTGCATGGTCTTGCGTTTAGAACTGGCCATCCCCCGAACCCGAAGGCCTTACTGTCCAGACACTGAGCACGACGACGTCTGTTCTAGCAAACCTAGTGCCCGTAGATATTGAACCCGGAGGCCTAAACCCGAATTGTGGAAGTCCGTCATGCCCATCCCTTCCGACGTCACCTCTGGAGGCTCCCATGCAATGCCAGCGGAGGTCAGCAGCACCTCCACTCTTCTGGTGGTTTGAGCCTTTACTGTTCACGGTCCGGGCTTCGACTCAGCTGGCTTCTGAAACCTCCAAAGAGCCTGTAGGCTCCAGCGCTTGAAGCCGTAACCCTGCGCTTCAAAAGTCCTTTGGAACCTGCAATCCCCAGTTCGCGTGAAATGAAGCGGATAAACCTTGGCTCCCGCCGACCTCCTCGACGGTCGGTGCCGGTGGGGCATAAGGCGGAACCGGCAGCGTCTGCACCTAGGCCATCTACAGCATCTTTACCATTTGACGAGGAACAAGCTCCGTTCCTTTCTCTTCTGCGCACCTCCTTTTCGGCACTTGCCTGGCCAAGGCCAACGGAATTCCGCGCTGCAACGCGGCACCTGAAGATCAAACTGACTCTGGGGCTGTACCAAAATTGTGCTGGGTGGCTTTTAGGCTTTGTAGAATTCGAAGTTAAGGGTCGTGGGCACAGAATTTCGCATCTTTTGAGGCTCTCATTCTTCAGATTCTGCCAGCGAGGGTGTTCGCGGCTAGGGAGAGATACTGTAGAAATCACCCAGTAAATCCTCCTCACTCGGATCTCGGTGGGTTTCTACCGAGTATACTATAGTGGATGGCTGGGGTGCTGGCCACAGAAGTTTGAGGATGCATGCATGGTGTGTGCATGAATCTGCCAGATGCAGATACAATTGAGTCCTTCTTCAGTGATTGCATCTATATACTCCGATGTATGCACTACATGTTTGCGTGGGGTGTGTGGGGGCTGTGCGTGTGTGCAAGTCCTTATCATAAGGATCTGGCTGATTGGGCTCGCTAGTCTAGGTTGAGGCTGATTGAGGTGTACGGATAATTACGGATACAATCCGCACGGTCGGCGGTGACGCGAATAGGAACATCCGAACGGGATCTGGCGGGGTGCAGACAAGATCTCCCGTATCAGATCTGGTGGGGTGGGAATCGGATGCTGGGCAGTACCCTAAACCCTAACCCTAAAACCCTAAACCCTAAACCACCTCCCTGATCTGCTTCAAAGCCGCTTGGAACCCCCCTAGATCTGATTGGAGCAACTCCCCCTACCAGGGCCGCTTATGGTGGAAAAGTCTTAAAGCTGAACTGCAGGACCCAGTCGCTCGTAGAGAGTCCAGCCCCTGAGCCCCTGGTACGGCAGCTCTCGCTGTTTGGTTTATGGCTAAGGGGGATCACCTCTCCGAGATTCAGCTTCAGGATTGATTTCTTTGTTGAGAGAATTTTCCTCCCCTCCGCTTAACCGAAGCCTCCAATTCTCTCCGGCATAACAACCATCCGTACAAAAGGGGAACCGTGGTGGTTCGGATTTGGTTCTCGTATCCGCGGTCTAGATCAGTGGTTCACCTGCGCTTCCGCCTCATCACTCCATGGCCGAAGCATGCCGCAACAGCTCGAAGTATCAGGGAGTGCTGGAAGAGCCCAATGCGAACCATGCAAAGCCGAGCTTCATAGCCAAAATCTCCCGAAGTCAGTAAACCCGTAAAGCAGCTGCAAGACCGACACTCCTGGAACGAGGAAGAGACACCCTCGCGCCTCAATTCGCACCGTGGTGTGGTTGACGCGCGTGTCAACTAGCACTTCATAGGCACCTGCCCCAAACTTCTGACCTAATCCCCCATCCTGTCCAGGGTAACCAATGAAATAGCAACTGAGCCGTTGGCTTTCTTCGCAGACTCGTAGTACATCCCAGCATCACAGTTACGCACTTAGTCCGAAACCCCCCGGCACAGCTTGCAGAAGATAATGCCAGGTTCCGTGCATCAGCCCGCAGCAAAACTACAACAGAAAAAGAATCTTGCAGCGACCCGAGTTGCAGAATAATTATGGTTCTGGGATTCTGGGGTCTGGGTCGCTGTCTCGATTCTCGGGCTTATGGAACCATGTCTGACCACTGATAGCGGTTCCCAACCTTCTTAACCAACCAGTGCATGTAAGTAGTTCGGACGAGGCTAGGCTGTACAAGATCACAGCGCCAGACCCTTGGCTGAAAGAGCACCTTCCCAAGTACCCTTATATCTGTTTGTTGATCATCATTCTTGAGCGTGGTGATTGCTGTAATGACGACAGAGCAGTGTTGTCAGAATTATGGCTAGGCGGAGGACGATGACAACGGCGATGGCGCAGTGATGACTGCGATGATACTGGCCAGGATGATGACGCTGAGGGTTAATGAGGCGGTCGCCAGCAGGATGCTGATCGAGACGGCGATGACCCTGACAGCGCGGATGATGATGATGATGATGATGATGAGGAGGAGGAGGAGGAGGCGGAGGAGGAGGAGGAGGATGACGATGACGATGA